ATATATGGTATTTGATTTTCTGCTCTTGTGTCAGTTTGCTGAGAATGATGGTTTCCAGGTTCATCCATGTCCCTACAAAGGACGTGAACTCATCATTTTTGATGGCTGCGTAATATTCCATGGTGTATATGTACCACATTTTCCCTATCCAGTCTATCATCATTGGGCATTTGGGTTGGTTCCAGGTCTTTGCTATTGTAAACAGTGCTGCAATGAACGTTCGTGTGCATGTGTCCTTGTAGTAGAATGATTTATAATCCTTTGGATATATACCCAGTAATGGGATTGCTGGGTCAAATGGGATTTCTATTTTTAGGTCCTTGAGGAATCGCCACACTGTCTTCCACAATGGTTGAATTAATTTACATTCCCACCAACAGTGTAAAAGTGTTCCTATTTCTCCACATCCTCTCCAGCATCTGTTGTTTCCTGCTTTTTTAATGATCGCCATTCTAACTGGTGTGAGATAGACCAATGGAACAGAACAGAGGCCTCAGAGGAAATACAACATACCCACAACCATCTGATCTTCGACAAACCTGACAAAAACAAGCAATGGGGAAAGGACTCCCTGTTTAATAAATGGTGTTGGGAAAACTGGCTAGCCATGTGCAGAAAGCAGAAACTGGACCCCTTCCTGACACCTTACACCAAAATTAACTCCAGATGGATTAAAGACTTAAACATCAGACCTAATACCATAAAAACCTTAGAAGAAAATCTAGGCAAAACCATTCAGGACATAGGTGTAGGCAAGGACTTCATGACCAAAACGCCAAAAGCAATGGCAACAAAAGCCAAAACAGACAAATGGGACCTAATCAAACTCCACAGCTTCTGCACGGCAAAAGAAACAGTCAGTAGAGTGAATCGGAAACCAACAGAATGGGAAAAAATTTTTGCAGCCTACCCATCTGACAAGGGGCTGATATCCAGAATTTACAAAGAACTAAAGCAGATCTACAAGAAAAAAACAAACAAGCCCATTCAAAAATGGGCGAAGGATATGAACAGATATTTTGCAAAAGAAGACATACGGGAGGCCAACAAACATATGAAAAAATGCTCATCATCACTGGTCATCAGAGAAATGCAAATCAAAACCACATTGAGATACCATCTCACACCAGTTAGAATGGCGATCATTAAATCTCCTTTTAATCCTTCACCTCCTTCCAGCTTCCTTCCTTTCAGAGATAAATTTCTCAAGACTTTATTCATACACCCTCTGTTTGATCATCTTCTTGTCACTCTTAAACCCAGGTCACTGGGGCTTTAGGTGCCATCTTATTCTATCTCTCAAAATTATTCGGCTGTCTTGACCTGAAATTCTGGTTTAGGTTGAAGTATGTCCTCCTAAACAGTGTCTTAACCTCTGTTGTCTGCAAGTGTGACCTTATTTGCGAATAAAGTCTTTGTAGATGCTATCCAGTCAAGATGGAAGACATAGGGTGGCTCTAATCCACATGACTGGTGTCTTTATAAGATAAAAAGAACACAGAGGGAAGTCCGGGTGGTGACAGAGGCAGAGACTGGAGTGACATGTTCAAAAGCTAAGGAACACCAAGCACTGAAGGCAACAAGAGCATAGCATGGGATGGGTTCTCCCCTAGAGCACAGGGGAAGAGCATGGCCCTAGTGACACCTTGATTTTGGGTCTCTGTCCTCAAAAATCCTGAGAGAATAAATTTTCCTTGCTTAAAGCCACTCAGCTCCTGGTATTTTTTTTAGAGCCATCATAGGAAACTAAAACAGTGAGTAAAAGAGAAAGTTTTCTCCCATTGGGCCCTGACTACTTTAGTTCATTCATTAGCATAGCCTAGTGTTGCCTAAAACAATGTCACATTTCTCAAACACCTTCAGGGAATTCGGCTAATCTGGCAAGATGATTTTATTTAATCTTTTTTAGAGGTGCCTATCTCATACTTTCCTTTTAGAGAAACCTTCAAGCCTTTGATCCAAAACGATCATCACCTATGGCAATTTCAAGCCCTCAGAACACTAAAGAAACATGGGATGAGGACTTCCAATTTGTGTCCTTCGTGCCTGGGGGGACCAGATGTCCTGCAGGCTCATAGGAGCCTGTCAGCTTAGGCCTACTCAGAGACCCAGTGGGTCTAAGACCAACTGAGCTTACTTGGATAATAAATCATGATGATGCCCTATTCAATGTCACTCGTTGAGTGACTACCTGTTCTATCTTTTTGTAGGCCTCATCTTTCTTATAGAAAAATGCATTTTAATTAAAACAATTGAACTCACAGTAATAGAGAGTAAAAGGATGGTAGCCAGAGGCTGGGAAGGATTTCGATTGGGGAGAGGAGGTGAGGATGGTTAATGGGTCTAAAAAACACATCGAGGCAAAGAATGAATAAGGCCTACTATTTAACAGCACAACAGGGTGACTATGGTCAATGATAATTTTATTGTACTTCTAAAAATAACTAAAAGTATAATTGGGTTGTTTGTAACACAAAAGATAAATGCTTGAGAGGATGAATATCCCATTCTCCATGATGTGATTATTATATATTGCATACCTGTATCAAAACATCTCATAGACCCCATAAATATATACATCTGCTATTTACTCGCAAAAAATAAAAAGAAAGAAAAAGCAGAAAAATGTATTTTAACAGTGACCTACAAAGGGTTTACATGGCGAGCCTTCTTTCCTGTCACTCCATAAAGACACAGACTCTCGGAGTCCACATAAGTCTTCCTTGTGTAAAGATATTTTTTAAAAAAATTTATAAATTGAGAAAATAATGTTTAAAAAGATGATAATAATAGAGAAGAATTTTCATAGCTAGTGATCAGGGTAGTATATTTTATTCTCTACAAAACATTCACAATTTATTTTTTTTAATTTAACAATCAATTTTAAAGCCTTTTCCAAATTCCTGAATATGCTTGTGTACTTGCCATAAGTATGGGCTTCTGTTATCCCATCATGTGTAACACTGCTTCTTGAACGATGTGTCCACACGGCTGATGCTCCCTTCCTTCCATTCAAACCCATTCAACTCAATCCCATTCAAACCCCACCTAGTGCTTCCTGTCCCTGGACACTGATCTGCACAGTTCTTCACAGGGGCAACTGATACCTTCCCACTGCTAAATCTAATGAGAGAATCTCCATTTGCTTTCTTTTGGATTGGTAGACAGTACTTGGTTCTTTATAAGAAACCATGGAGTTCCGTAAGTGCTGGCTCTTCAGGATCTGCTTCTTTTTCCTTGATTGTTCCTTACTTTCCCTGGGCCTCTGTTCACAAAACCGTATTTCAAAATTATGCAACTGTCTGCTCTCAATCTTATTTGAAAAATTTCACAGCCACTAAAAACTTAATTTATCCAGAAGTGAACTCAAAATCTCACTCTCAGAGGGAGAGTACAAAGAAGTGTGTTCATTTTTTAAACTTTTCATAGCAGGAAGTCAATAGATGTAAGAAAATAATGAAGCATGCAATTAAAAATAAATATTAATAACTGCACATTACTAATGGTCCGCATGTTTTTTTCTAAATATTGGAGACTTCTTGTAGAAACATAGCTTTTGTAAAGAAATGTTTATTTGAGATATTTGCATTTCAATTTTCTTTAATTCTTTTGTCATTTGTTAGTTTCAAGTAATTCTTTAAAATATAATTGACTTAAAAAGTTATGTCTAATATTCTTATGTTCTCTTTCTATAAATACATACATATATACATATATGATATTTATACCTTACCTATATCTGTTATATATGTATATACATATGTATGTATTCAGAATGAAATAAGTATTTTATTCAGAGATAGTGTGAGTGCTTTTCAAAATTTTCTTTGAACCTTTTAATGTACTTGTTGTATTTTAGTTCTTTTTTTTTTTTTTTTTTTTTTGAGACGGAGTTTCACTCTTGTTACCCAGGCTGGAGTGCAATGGCACGATCTCGGCTCACCGCAACCTCCGCCTCCTGGGTTCAGGCAATTCTCCTGCCTCAGCCTCCCGAGTAGCTGGGATTACAGGCACGCGCCACCATGCCCAGCTAATTTTCTGTATTTTTAGTAGAGATGGGGTTTCACCATGTTGACCAGGATGGTCTCGATCTCTCGACCTCGTGATCCACCCGCCTCGGCCTCCCAAAGTGCTGGGATTACAGGCTTGAGCCACCGCGCCCGGCATATTTTAGTTCTTTATGTTTAATAATAACATGTATTTTTTTATTTAAAAAAATTCATACTTAAAAAACCCTGTAAACCTTAAAAATCCAGCCTATTCCTCTGATGTTTTCTATCTCAGTGGACGTGACCACCACCCCAGCCACCCAGGCTAGAAAACTGACATTTCCTCGTGGTCCCCTTCACTCATATTCTTCATTACCTATGATCACCTGCCAGGTCCTTCCAAATTTGCCCCTGAAATCCTTCTCAAAAGATTCTTCATCTCCCCATTCCCATGACTCCTCTCCTCCTTCAGACACTTCCACCTTTTCCTTGAACTTCTGTAGGAAGAGCCCTGTCTCTCCTGGACTGGCTTCCTCAGATGCCTGCCTTTTCCAGAAGGATCCAGCAACTTGCCATCCAATCATGCTGCTCTAGCTGAGAGTTCTTAGATGGCTTTCTATCATCTGGAAGACAAAGCAAAAATTCTGTTTCTTGACTCAAACACACGCAGAGTCTTCATGGCTGCTGCCCTTGTCTCCTACTCATCAATCATCACATCCAGAACTGCCTACCATCCCATCACCACGGCCCATTCCGTGTCTGTTTGCTTTTTTGTTTTAACCTGTCCCAACACGTGCCTTTGCTTACAATGTTTTCTGTCTGCCTAGGCTGTCGTTTCACCCATTTCTTTATTTTTCATCTTGCTAAATCCCGCAATGTTTTTTAAACTTAGGCACAGAAGACTGCCTCAAATACTGAATGCCCAGGGTTTTCAAGACCCTCTTTTATATACTCTTGCCATACATTCCTGGAGAACAAGGATAATTTGTAATTTACTTTTACATCTTCCAGTCTCAGCAGGAGGAGATGCCCAGCCAGCTCTGTGTGTGGAATGGATTCTCAGTGGGCCAGGTAAGGCATTTTAGAAGCAAGGGTTTAGTGGAAGAAACCGGGTTTATGCCCACCTATATTCCTTGGCTTCTTAAAACAATCCTATGTCTTTAAACGTTCCTAAAATTAGCTGCTTGGTTTCTTTAATTAAATTAATTATGAAATCAGTCTTGCCTAAGAAAAGTAGAATTCAAGTCCATGGCATAAAGGAATCTTACAGTTCACCAATAGGTTGAAAAATCATATGGGTTAGTCAGCCATACAAAGTGTATTTGTTCTAAAAGATTCAAGGAGAAAAAGTCAAAAACGTAAATTTTAACACTACATACTTGGTCTTTTTCTACTTAATAGTCGTGAAACATAAAAGTTACATGAATTTTCTGAGTTTTCCTGCCTCCTTCCCTCCCTTCCTTCCTCCGTTTCTTCCTTGCTTTCCTCATCTTCATTTCTCTCATAAAAGGAGACAGTATCTCCTACAAAGCTTTGAGAATTCACAGGATAGAAACTGTAGTACACCATGTGGTGCTCAACCAACGCTCATCCCATGTCGCCCCTGTGACCTCCAGCTGCCGTCACTTCTGTTAGAATCATAAGTGGCTCCACCTCAGCATGGTAGGAATGCTTAATTAACATATACTTGAGTCTACCTTTTAAATAATTCTCTTCTTGAATGGAAGAAAGAAGTGTATTTGATTTATTGTTAATTTTCTGTTACCTGACACATGATAATCACTTAATAAATGTGATAAAAGAAAAGGTAGGTAATAATACAGGGTTTACCAAGTGCCAGAGGATATTCTAAAGACATTACATTTTAATCCTTTAATCCTGTCAACAACCCTTTGAGGTAGGCACTATTCCAAGTGCCTACAATGCTGAGGTGGAGCCACTCATGATTCTAACAGAAGTGACAGCAACTGCAGGTCACAGGAACGACATGGGATCAGCGTTGGTTGAGCACCTCCTGCTGCCCACATGGTGTACTACAGAACTGTTTAAGTAACTCTCCCATGGCCACTCAATAAAGTGGCTATTAGGGGACTGACTGCAGAATCCAGGCTCTCAATGAAATTAAATAGTCTCTTAGTTAAATTATTTGATTTTTAACAAAGCTCTTTAAAAATTAAATATAGAACTAAGGCTCTTTCTTATAACATTTTTACTTCTTCATTAAACCCTAGAAAATGAATTAGATGTGAACATCATGCCATGTTTTTACATAGGTTAGCTTCACTGCTTAATTGGATAAAAACAATTCTAATTAAAACATCTCACTTTTGTCTTTCCAGCTCCTGCATGTTGGTGTGTTGGTGCATGTTAGACTGCCATTCAGCAAAAGGCAAGACTCTGCCTCCACTCTGAGTATTCTGGAAAATGTAAGTAATTGGATCAGACTTTCATATCACTGCCTCCTAGATGATTAGAATCTCAGTTTTCTGCAGAGTCTATCAGACGTTAGGCTCCCCGTATCTCCCGTCAGTACTCACTGAGTCGTGAGGGTTCGGAGATGATTTATTACATGTGACACAGGTTTCTGTTTATGCACTCATAAAGGCCATGTCTGCAAGATCTATAGAGCCAGCTTGCACCAGTACACTGAGCTGAGATGAATAAATGAATAATTGTTTTGATAATATTAACCAAGCATGTGTGATATCTCTTTGCGACATCTGTTATGAACAAAATAAACAAAAGGAGTCTTCACTGGTTGTATGTTGCTTTCAGGAACAATGTAACGTACCCAATTTCGTAAGCCTTTGTGGGTATTAATTAGAATATGTCTTTTTCTGAATATCTCAGGATCAAGTGGAGTGCCAGTGCACTTAAGATACGGCTGGATAAAAATAAGTTGGTGATTTTATTTAAAATACCAAACATCTCTTTTGCCCCTTTAGATTTTAATTTAGTGTTTCTCAGTGCAAGGTAAGAAAATCAGTGAATGGTTTAACAAACACCAGAAGTTATTATCATTGGCCTGATCCCACTTTCTACAGAGCCAGGCTCTGATGTACATATTGCTTGAAGTCTTCCACAACGTACCAGACAAGTGACTGATGAGCCTCTGACTGGTCACGTCCAGTGATAAGTGACTCACTACCCTGCAAGGCAACTTTGCAGCTTTGGCAGTAGGGTAGTCCTTCTGGAAGCAGGACATTCTGAAATCTTAAACAGCTTCCCTCTATACAGAAAACTGCCCCATTCAGAAAGCTGCCAGGGCTTGCTTATTCGAAAGGAAATGACTCAACATAATTTGTGGAAGGGGGAATAACACTCAACATTATCTTTCAAAAATATGGGGTATGATGTGAGAAAGAAAAAAGTAGGGGGATGCTTGCTGAGAAGAACATCATATTTTAAATACTCGTACTCCATTCTACTTCCAGGCTGAGGGTGAAGGTAAAAAGAAATCAAAAGAAGCCAGAGTTTCATTTTTCCAGGACTGGTAATTGGCCTGCCCTAGGCACAGAGAGCTATCCTGGAAAGCTCCCCACTGGAATAAGAGTGGACATAGAACAAGCGGTGTCCCCTGTGGGCTGGTGACCACATAGTCAATAGAGTTGGGACATTAAAACTGGTCAGTGTGGCTAGGTAATGGCACTGAAGGCCAGACGACCCTATCCATACATGCTCAGCATCTTGGAAACAGGAAAACTCTCCACCAAATGTGTACGCATCTCCTAAAACGTGATGATGCTGAGCAGCCTGCGAATGCATTTCCACCACTGAACATGGGGTGGGGATGCTGAAATAAAATAAAATTATATTATCAGAACAAAGGAAGATGGCATCTTTGCATGTCTAAGAGTATAGACTACCATTTATTCCAACTACTCATTCAGAAAGCAAAATCTATTTCTCTATAGCTTTTGTCTTTTTCTATCTGTTAGGGCCAAAGTAAATTTTTATTTTGTATGCTTTTGTTTTTATTTTCAAAGTAAAATTTTTCTTTTGTATGTTTTCTCTTGGCTAACTAATGATAGAGATTGCTAGGTACTAAATGTTTACACATTCCTCCCCCATTCATAAAGTGAAACCCTAATCACCAAGGTGATGGATTAGGAGGTGGAGCCACTGGGAGATGATTAGGTCACGAGGGTGGAATTCCCATGGGTGGGATTAGTGCCCCCATAAAAGGACACATGAGAACTTGCTTTTTCTCTCTCTGTTCTCCGTGTGTGGACACAGGCAAGAAGATGACCACCTGCAATTCCAGTAGCAACTCCCCACCAGACATGGGATTTGCCAGTGGTTAGATCCTGGGCACCCAGCCTCCAGAGACGTGGAAAATAAATGTTTGCTGTTTAAGCCATCAGTTTATGGTAATTTGTTATAGCAGCTCAAATTAGCTAATATGGTTTGGCTTTGTGTCTCCACCTTAATCTCATCTTGAATCATAATTTCATCATCTCCATATGTAATGAGGAGGGACCTAGTGGAAAGTCATTAAATAATGGGGATAGTTCCCCTCACCCCATGCTGTTCTCATAATAGTGAGTTCTCATGAGATCCAATGGTTTTATAAGAGGCCTCCCCCTTTGCTCAGCACTTCTTTCTCCTGCCACCATGTGAAGAAGGATATGTCTGCTTCCCCTCTCACCATGATTGTAAGTTTCCTGAGGCCCCCCCCAGCTACATGAAACTGTGAGTCAATTAAACCTCTTTTCTTTATAAGTTACTCAGTATTGGTTACTTCTTCATAGCAGCATGAAAATGAACTAATACAATGACTAAAATAGAAATAGTGTATTTTTATTTTCTAGAGTACAATCCCAGTTCTATCATACTGGATCTGGCATATCCATAATCTACTATTCTAGGTACACTATAATTTGTGCACATTTTCCATAAGATGTATAACAAATTATTATTATCTACAATCCAAAAAAATAGCCCAAGCTATTAGTTTTCTTCCAGTAGTTTGATGAATATAGCTTGGAGCAGCAGCTATTCTAATATTAATAACAGTTTTGAAGATAATATAAAATAATAAAGTAGGTATAAACAGTATTTAAACACTGTGCACACAGTTCACTCTAGATATTATTGATGTCTTAGTCTATTTTGTGTTTCTCTAATAATATCACAGACTGAACAATTTACAATTAACGAAAATTTATTTCATTAATGATCCTCGTGGCCGGGAAGTTTAAGAGTTTGGCACCAGTACTTGATGATGGCGTCTGTGTTTCATCATCCCATGGCAAAAAGAGGAAAGGCAAGAGAGGGTGTGTGTGTGTATGTGTGTGTGAGAGAGACACACTATTTATTATGTAATGTCTATGACTGCTTTTATGTACCAATGGCAGAAGTAAGTACTAACGTAGAAGCCTTATTGTTCACAGAGCCTAAAACACTTACTTCATGCTGTATTTTATTTATTTAATTATTTTTAATTTTTTTTTTTTGAGACAGATCTCACTCTGTCATACAGTGGTATAATCACAGCTCACTGTAGCCTCCACCTTCCAGGCTCTGGTGATCCTCCCACCTCAGACTCCTGACTACAGTGTATGTTACCATGCCTGGCTATGTATGTATGTATGTGTGTGTGTGTGTGTGTGTGTGTGTGTGTATTTTTTGTAGAGACCAGTGTATTACTCCATTTTCAGGCTGCTAATCAATACATACCTTAGACTGGAAAGAAATGAGATTTAATCGGACTTAACAGTTCCACATGGCTGGGGAGGCCTCAGAAACATGGCGAGAGGTAAAAGGCACTTCTTACATGGCAGTGGCAAGAGAAAAATGAGCAAAAAGCAAAAGCATAAACTCCTGATAAACCCATCAGATCTCATGAGACTTTTTCACTATCACAAGAATAGCATTGGAAAGACCGCCCTCCATGACTAAATTACCTCCCCCTGGGTCCCTCCCACAACACGTGGGCATTTTGGGAGATACAATTCAAGTTGAGATTTGGGGGGGGGGGATGCAGCCAAACCCTATCAGCTGGGTTTCTCTATGTTGCCCACACTGCTTGAACACCTGGGCTCAAGTTATCTGTTCACTTCAGCCTCCCAAAGTCCTAAAATTACAAATGTGAGCCACCACACACAGCCTCAAACATTTATTATCTCTGACTTTATACAGAAAAGATATGCTGAATTCTGCCCTAGGATACTGTCATGGTCTGCATGGTTGAACCTGGGTCACCACTCCATCTGGACTCACCACTCCATCTGGTTAAAGGAACATGGAAAAGGCGTTCTCATTGGTGCCAGGCCTAGAAACAACACATGCCACTTCTGCTTCTTTTAACCAGGAGGAAACTTTAGTCATTGGCAATGCAACACCAAGGGAGTCTGTGAAATGCAATTGAGCTAAAAGTTCCACTCAGGCTATAATAAGCCTGTATTATGAAAGATGAGAAAGGAGCTTCACTGGATGGTCAGCAGTCTTTCCTATATTCAATAGAAAAGAAGTGAGTGTGTTTCTACTTTAGTGCACACTTTGTCTTTTGGACAGACTAAATCGTATCAATCCAATTGTCCCTTTTCATTTAATGTCTGTATTTATTTTAAAGAAAAATGCATCCATATGTTTCTGCATCATTTATACCTCTCATCAAAATGTAGTTTCTCAATAGCTATTGGATATTCAAAATGTCTAGTAGAAAATGAATAGAAAATTTGGTTTTGTAATATGAAACTGGGAAGTATATGTGGCATCTTAACTCAGCAGTTCAGCATGTACCTGGCTATTCCCCCAAAGAAAGGGTTCGTGCAAATACTGAATAGAGCTGATTGCAAAGAAGACCTTCTTCTACTCTCATCTGAAAAATCAGATTAGATAAATTCATTGTCAGGTAATAGCAACAGAAACAAAGATATAGTGGATATGCAATGACCCTAACATTGTATAAAATATCTCAACTTATAGAATGCTTCCAAATTCATGATTTCATTTGGATAGCATTAGACTCTGTAAGGGAACTGACTGTTATTGTTATTGGGTAATCTTTGTTTTTTTTTTATTATTGCATTTTAGGTTTTGGGGTACATGTGAAGAACATGCAATATTGTTGCATAGGTACACACATGGCAATATGATTTGCTGCCTTCCTCCCCTTCACCTATATCTGGCATTTCTCCCCATGCTATCTCTCCCCATCTCCCTACCACCCCGTCCCTCCCCCACTTCCCCCAACAGACCCTAGTGTGTAGTGCTCCCCTCCCTGTGTCTATGCGTTCTCATTGTTCAGTACTCGCCTATTATTGAGAATATGTGGTGTTTGATTTTCTGCTCTTGTGTCAGTCTGCTGAGAATGATGGTTTCCAGGTTCATCCATGTCCCTACAAAGGACACGAACTCATCGTTTTTGATGGCTGCATAATATTCCATAGTGTATATGTACCACATTTTCCCTGTCCAGTCTATCATTGATGGGCATTTGGGTTGGTTCCAGATCTTTGCTATTGTAAACAGTGCTGCAGTGAACATTCATGTGCGTGTGTCCTTATAGTAGAATGATTTATAATCCTTTGGATATATACCCAGTAATGGGATTGCTGGGTCAAATGGAATTTCTGTTTTTAGGCCCTTAAGGAGTCAACACACTGTCCTCCACAATGGTTGAACTGACTTACACTCCCACCAATAATATAAGAATGTTCCTATTTCTCCACATCCTCTCCAGCATCTGTTGTCTCCAGATTTTTTAATGATCATCATTCTAACTGATGTGAGATGTTATCTCAACATTGTTTTGATTTGCATTTCTCTAATGACCAGTGATGATGAGCATTTTAAAATATGTTTTTTTGGCCTCATGTATGTCTTCTTTTGTAAAGTGTCTGTTCATTTCCTTTGCCCACTTTTGAATGAGCTTGTTTGTTTTTTTCTTGTAGATCTGTTTTAGTTCTTTCTAAATTCTGTTGGTTGCCAATTCACTCTACTGACTGTTTCTTTTGCTGTGCAGAAGCTGTGGAGTTTGATTAGGTCCCATTTGTCTATTTTGACTTTTGTTGCCATTGCTTTTGGCGTTTTGGTCATGAAGTCCTTGCCTACGCCTATGTCCTGAATGGTTTTGCCTAGATTTTCTTCTAGGGTTTTTATGGTGTTAGGTCTTATGTTTAAGTCTTTAATCTATCTGGAGTTAATTTTAATGTAAAGTGTCAGGAAGGGGTCCAGTTTCTGCTTTCTGCACATGGCTAGCCAGTTTTCCCAACACCATTTCTTAAACAGGGAATCCTTACCCCATTGCTTGTTTTTTTTTTCAGGTTTGTCAAAGATTGGATAGTTGTAGATACGTTGTGTTGCCTCCAAGGCCTCTGTTCTGTTCCATTGGTCTATATCTCTGTTTTGGTACCGGTACCATGCTGTTTTGATTACTGTAGACTTGTAGTATAGTTTTGAATCTGGTAGTGTGATGCCTCCTGTTTTGTTCTTTTTGCTTAGAATTGACTTGGCTATGTGGGCTCTCTTTTGGTTCCATATGAAGTTTAAGGTGTTTTTTTTCCATTTCTGTGAAGAAGGACATTGGTAGCTTGATGGAAATAGCATTGAATCTGTAAATTACTTTGGGCAGTATGGCCATTTTCACAATATTGATTCTTCCTAACCATGAACATGGAATGTTTCTCCATTTGTTTGTGTCCTCTCTTATTTTGTTGAGCAGTAGCTTGTAGTTCTCCTTGACGAGGTCCTTTGCGTTCCCTGTTAGTTATTGGGTAATCTAATGTGCTCTAACCTATTGGTATTTCCTGTTCCATTGACAACCCTATCCTATTAGTATGTCTTGTCTTGCTGGTTATTTCCCATTCTATTGGCATCTTGGTCCTACCTATTGGTGTTTCCTGTTCTCTTGGCATCTCCTGTCCTGTTAGCATTTCCTGTTTTATAATAGTAGCATCACCTGTCCTGTTAGTATTGTTGGTTCTATTAGCACTCCCTGTCCTACTAGTATCTCCTGTTTCATTGGTATTTTCTTTTCTATTAATATCCCCTATCCTTTTAGTATTTCCTGTCCTGTTGACATTCTCTGTCATGTCAATATTTCCTTTTCTATTGGCATCCTCTGTGTATTTTTATGTTCTTGCATTTCTATAAAGAAATACTCAAGACTGGGTAATTTATTAAGATAAGAGGTTTAATTTTCTCACAGTGTGCAGGATGTACAGGAAGCACAGCAGCATTTGCTTCCAAGGAGGCTTCAGGAAGCTTACGATCATGGTGGAAGGTGAACAGGGAACAGGCACATCACACAGTGAAAGCAGGAGCAAGAGAGTGGGGGTAGGAGAGGTGCCACACACTTTTAAATGACCAGTAGGTATCAGGAGAACTCACCCAGTTTCA